ATTTCTGCAGCATGATTACATCTGCGTGGGGCTGCACATTTCAGCCTGAATGTCAGTGCTCTTGAGTAAGATTTGAGAATCAGCATGAAGTAAGCACTTGGCAACCATGCTTTGGGCTGGTTCTGTTGTTCTTAATTCTCAGGCAACTACCAAAGGACACTTAATGAATCTTGGAAGAGAATGGTTTGAAACAGGTACAAGACAATACTGCTTTACACATATCTTCTGGAGCCTTTCAGGGTCATAAAGGTATGGGAGAAGTTTATGGGCAGTTGGAGAGTAAGAGGGATATTCTGCTTGTGTCCCTTCTTCAGCAGCTGGGAGTGCTGCAGGTGGACTACAGGAGGTGGCCACACTGGCATCCTCTGCATGGCCTCCCGCGGGGTCTCTGCTGATGGAGATGTAATTAATTGGGCTGTTAGGCTGACCTGATGGGGACATTTTTATGTTCAGACTGGAGCATTCTCTCATCTTTCCTTGCTGGTAGTCCAAGAAACCACTGGGAGCAATCTGTTGGTGGTCGAGACTCGTGCTGGTTGCACAGTGTCGAGCTGCAGGGCAGTTGCCAGCTGTGCTACTTCAGCCACACAGGAATGAGCCCAGGCTCTGGATTGTGTTGCTGGTGCTTTGGGGGTGGTCACTGTCTTGTCAGACTAGGAAAAGCTGCTGCACTTCAGACAAAGCCAGTGAGGGCTGCTCTGTCACACCAGCAGTTTAGGTCACATATGCTGGCCATACCACTGAGTTTTCCCACCAGTCTGGCTGGAAGAAGTGTTGTAGGTGGGCTGTAGGGCAATGGAGCGCAGAAGGAAGACCGTGAACATTGTAACCTCACACAGCCCTTTCCTAGGGGGATGTCTGCAGCCCAATTTCTGAGTGTTCCCAAAAGCTTTTCTGTGAAATGAGCTGATTTTTGCCAAATCAGAAAAGGCCACAAACTGAGTGCTTCAGCTCAGGCTCCAAGACTCAGGCTCACTCCTGCAGTCACCATGACCTGACACCTGGATCAGTTAAAGAAGCGATGGCCAGAGCAGCAGCTGGCCTTGGAACAAGCTTGTGGTTTGTTCTTGCCTTCTATGAGCAGTGCAGTTGGACCCAGTGCTAGAGGCCTGGGACACAGCTCCTTGAGAAGAGGCACCAGTGGCTTGTCCATTACCTGCTGCTGGTTATGAGAGACTGATGTGTTCCAATGGGGCCAGCACTCCTACAGTGCTGGGTGCTCTTGCTTGTGCTGTTGGACTTCTGGCTGGTTTGAGTCTCCTTTTCACAGACCCTTACAAGAACTTTTTGCTATGCCTGCAAACAGAAATGGTAAAAGCAATTCTGCTCATGGCAGCTGATAGACACCATGCCCTCATGTCTGTTGCCCATGTGCCACCTCAGCTCCTGAAAAGGCTGGGCAGATGTGGATCACAGGTGGATTTTGGACCTGTGTCCTAGATTGCAAGGCAATGTGTATTCTATTTGCCATCTGTTAGAGGTCTGACAGTTATCTTCTGTTAATTGGGCAGTTCTCTTCCACAAACCAATCCTCCCTCTGGGGAGACATCAGCTGTTAATGGGCTATTGAATGTCACTGCATGACTGATAAAAATTACAGCATCCCATTGTGAGATGCCCCGCCCAGATGGAGGAGCCAAGGATTCTTAACTGGATATAATCTGAGTTTTTGGGACACCAGATCAGCCTTTCCACTGGATTCTCAGAGGAACAGCTGCCTTTTCCACTGGATTTTCAGAGGAAAACTACACTCTTCTACAGGATCACTGCTCCAACAGAACCACATCTGCCACTCCAGGAAGACTGCAGCCATCATTCCAATTGGACTGCTACCAACACCCTGACCAACAGGGTGTCAGGTTGTATTCTGAATCAGTGGTTTTTCTTTTGTATTATTGCATGTTTTGTTTGTTTTTTCCCTTTTCCTAATAAATTGTATTTCTGACTTGGAGTCTCTCACTGGTTTTGCTTTCAAACCAGAACAACCTGTCTGTAGGTTCAGCTTGAGGTGGAGAAAGGGCTTAGCTTTGGCAGCTGCCTGATGTTTTACAGGACAGGGCAACCACAAGGCTACCCCTCTAGTAAAGAAGTTCCCCGCTGTCTTTCCTTCCATTGAAAATGTGAAGGGTCTCCCTGCCCTTGTCCACCAGAGATGCACAGAAGTTCTGCCACCTCCTCAAAGCTCCTGGGTAATGAGAGGCCAGTTTTTAGTATAATTCTCATGTAGGTTTTAAGTCCAATCCTTACATGGAACTTTGCACTAAATCAGCCCTGTGGGAAGATAGAGACCAGAGGAACGGGCAGGTCTGCTTCAGGAGCCCTGCAGCACTGGCAGGAGGCAGAGATGGGAGGCTCCCTGTCCTTATGCTGCCCCAGTGCTGATTTGATGTGGGTGCAGCACAGCACTGGCAGATTAAGCAGAACTGGCCCGTGGAGACAGTGCCAAGCTGGGGCTGTGTGGAGCAGGGCTCTGGCTCTGCCACACCCATGGACTGTCTGCAGGACACCCAAAAAAATGAGATGGGAAAAGTTGAATTAGTTGCTGAGGTTGCTGCTTTTCGAGGTCCTGTTGTCCTATACCATTTGTCAGCCATGGTGAGCAGTGGCAAGAGCTGGTTGTGAGTGCAGTGGGCTGGGGAAACCAGCTCAGGCATTCATCATCCCATGATGAGGGAACAGGAAGGAGCATGGGTGTTCTGAGTGAGGTGGACCACATAGGGACCTGACCAGAGTTGAGTGCTTACAGGTAGCCATGCAGGAAAGCTTTTGGGACGTATGGAGTCACTCATCAGTCTGACTATTCTTTGCAAAGCAGGGGACACCACCTGAAGACTCTGTCCAGGCCACAAGGATTTGAACCTGCGTCGCCTGCCCCAGCCTCTGCCTGGACCTTCCTCTGTCTCACCATGTAAACTATCCATTTTGTCTGAAGTGCTTAGTGTTTACAGGTACCATAAAGGGAGCTTGTGTCTGAGGACTGGAGGACTGTGGTCACCTCTGCTGTCAGGGCTGGATGCTGGCAGAGATCGAGGCCTGAAGTCATGAAGGTGTTAGGAAGGTCAAGGCTCTTAAAAGCTGCAGCTTCTCCCAAAGGAGAACTAGTGGGTTACATCAGTTCATCTCCACTCACAGACACATTTCTTCCATCTCGTCTGTGCCATGTCTGGTCTTTTGTTCAGATTACAAGTGAGGTGGGAGACCAGGTGGTCCGTGAGGGATGTAGAGGATGTGGAATGGAGGAGGGAGTGGGGCCCTTCCTTTTCAGTGAGCTGCTGGATTGCCTCAGCTGCCTTGAAACAGACTTCCCTGAAACAAGATGGCCTTGGTGCCTGCTGGGGAAGACAAGGGCACTGCAAGTGCAGACAGTCCCCAAATAACTGGGCTAAGGTGTCCCCTGGTGGGTGTTACCTCCTTGCTCTTGGGACATGTCCATCAGACCCTGTAACCCCAGGGACCACAGAAAGGCCTGTAGAGCCTCATCTGCAAATGTACAGCCCTGTAAAGAATGAGGAGGTGAGGAATCTACCGCCTTCTCCCTTCTCCCACCTAAATTGGGATGTCTGGGTGCGGTGATGTAGAAATCTCTGCTTGTCTGTGTGTCCCTCCCAGCCACTCCCTGGATGGGGCTGTGCTTGCTCTGGCCAAGGGCACAGGCTGAGGGTGGGCACCTGTCCCTGGAGATATGTAGCCAGTTCCCAGTCTCTGGTGCTCTGGTCAACAAAGAAGGGGTGAGAAACTGTCCCAAAGTAGAAGGTACTCAGAAGTGGAATTCTGCTATGATGATGGCACACTGACCTGGTGAGTCACTCAGCTCCCATTCTTGTGTGCACCTTGGGAGCAGTCTGGAGGTCAGCTAGACCTGTGGGACCTCCAGCAGCACTCTGACAAAAGCAAGTACAAGCAGGGTGAAGCACAGTGGGGAGAGCGGGACACAAAGCTCATCCCTGGCCTGCTGCACATTGGTGTGGAGAGTGGAGACCATGTCCAGATGAATCTGTAATACTCCTGCCCCAGAGTGGGATGCTGCAGCAGCTCTGCAGACTGCAGGGCCCCCATGGGGGCTGTGTTGAGGCAGCTGAGGGCTCTGGCAGAGGTCTAGAGACAGGAAAAGACCCTGTTGGCACAGACTCCCCTCCTTCCCACTGCCATGCAGGCCCCAGAGTGGCCAGACAGGGAGGAGTGGAGGGTCTCAGGCAGGGAATTGCTTCAGCCAGGCACAGAGGCCTTCGTGACTACTCTCTGGGGCTGCTCCTTGGGTCCATTGCCCTGCCACAAGTGTGATTGTCTCGGCTGGAATGTAGGGAAGCAGAGCTGCTAAGCTCGGGGCCGGTTTCCCAATAGCACCACTACAGCCAGGCCCTTGAGGGGAAGTAGCTGAAGGACACCTCACTGGGAACTTCCTCCCTGTTTCTCAGGAATGTTGCCTAAACGCTGACTTTTGCCCTTGGACCTCAGGCCCTTGCCTGAGCTGGGTCAGCCATTTCTGTGATGGTGGAAATCCAGTCCAAGCCAGGATCTCCTCCCCTGACCTGCCTCATCGCTGTAGGATTTTCCAGTGTTCATCTGGTCACCGTCCCTGCTTTGCTCCCATTTGCCACTGGCCTGTCCTGTGCTGGATAGGGCAGTGCCCTCCCAGCTCAGTTCCTGGTCAGCTGTCCTATGACAGCTCCTGCTGCTCTCTGACAGTGAGTCGTGTGGAGTGCACAACTCTGCTCATGCTGAGCATAAAGAAAGGATTTTCAGGTGACACCTGAACTCCTTTGCAGAGAAAGCAGAGAAGATCCAAACTGATCCTTCCACTTGCTCAACAGCGAAGCTTGCTAAACAAGACAAAAATACTGGCTACTTCTTGCCTCCCTACCTCAAATTCCCTATAAAATTTGGTCTCAGCATGATAGAGGCTGAAGAATGGAAGATAGGACAGATTACACTAGGGAAAATGCCCAGAGACAGTATGGTCTAGCTAAAGAAAGCACACACAAGGCCTTGGGAATAAACTTTATTGCCACCACAAGGATTTGGTCTGTGTTTGCTGTCTGAGGGCTCTTCAGCTCTCCAGTCACACACCTCACTTGCATCAGATGAGCTTTGGGCGCTCTGCTTTGTGCTGTGCTCTGTCCTGGGCTGGAGGGATGGGCTGTTGGGAAGGCAATGGGTCCACGGTAGAGAAAGTGTCCTCAGTGGCACAGCTCTCTATTCCACCTTGGGATGTGGGTGGGTTTGCAACAGGCCCTTGAAAGTTCTTGTTGAGGGATGGTGCAGGCCCAGGTTGACTAATCCGCTCTAATACTGAGTCAGCAATCCGATTTGACATGGTCCTTATATCCAAAGTGTTGGCTAAGGCTGTTGACTTTAGGCTCCTTTTTCTTTCCAAGTTCTCCTTCACCATTGCACAATCTTCAGGCTCCATGGTTTTGGCACACCCGGCCCCTTCTGCAGGGGCAGGCCACATTGCTTTCAGGCTCTGCTGTTCAGATGCTCTGGGAAATCCTTGTCCAGCTTCCATGCCCTGCCTTGGACATGTTTGGGATGACTGCACTTGTCTGTTGGAGACATTTCCCCCAGGAAGCTCCAGGATTTCAGTGTACTCACAGCCAGTGTCTTGTTCAAACTGAGAAGTTACAGAGGATTCCAAGGTATAATGAACACTCTCAACAACTTCTCTGGTGAGTGTGTCAAGGGAGGTCTTTGAAAGTACTCTGTCTGCAGTGTCCTTGGATTTGTCTGCTTGGGTGGCTCTTCCAGCAAGAGGCAGGTCCTCCCACTTGGCTGCAACCCCTGCCTCAGCAGCTTTGGATGTGCTGGATGCCAGACGGTCCCCCAAGATCTCCAACACTGTTGCTACAAGCTCTTTCGCCATCACTTCCATTTTCTGATGGTGATCTAGAGAAGTATCCAAAAGTTCTGCTCTCATGCAGCCTAAAAGTCTTCCTCTGATTCCCCGGGCAACCCTCTGTAAAAAGCTGACATGCTGATCCCTAGGAATCTTCAACCTCTCCAACACTCTGTACACCACAGTCTCAACCAGCTCTTCAAGCTTCTTGGCTTCTGCTGCAGTTAGTTGCTTAAACACAGCATTCAAGAGGCCATTGTCAGTGCCATCTGGCTTCCTCTGGGAATCAGCAGCAGTGCTGGTATCCTTCTGGCCCAGCTCAGCTCTGGGGTAAGTTTGGCCCTTGTTCAGAGCTGCTCTCCCTTTTCTGCATCCCCCCGATTTTTGGCTCTTGGGTAGGCTGGAAGGGTTTTGAGGCTGCAGCTTCCCCTGACAGGAAGTGTTGGTGATTCTTGGCAGGTTGGGGCCACGCTTTAATTGGGCCCAGGATGGCAGAAGGGAAAAAAAAGTGAAAAGTGAAAAAAAAAAAAGTGACACCTTCCTGAAAAGTGACACCAGGTTGTGGGTCATGTTGCTCGGCCCCTGCATGCTGAGGATTCCTAAGGGCCCAGGCTGGACCTCTGCTTCAGCCAGGCCATGAGGGCAGGGAAGAAGGGCTTCCCTCAGCACGGTGTGTGCCTGCACGTGGCCCTGCTGCCCGTGCCCAGCTCAGTGCCCTGTGCTGGCTCAGCTCCCAGCCGTGGAGTCCTTTCCCCGCCACAGCGCCCGGCCCAGCAGCACCGCCCTGCACAGTCCCATGCCCCTGAACACAACGCTTTGCCTACTTCTTGCTGCCCTAAGATCTGCTCTGACTGTAGCTTGATCCTGGTCAGGTACTGCCTGTACTCGTTGAACTCCTTCACAGTGCAAATCACCTATGGAGGGATGAGGGCAGAATCCCCCAAAAACTGTCAAGCCATGCAGTCGGCCTTCCCCACAACAGCCCGAGCCCAGTGGGAGAGGAGCTGCCCCCAAGCCCTCCCCCCACACCCTGGTGTTGGGGCCACTGCTGTCCCCCCAGCCAGGGCTGAACAGGCAGCGTGGGGCAGGCTGAGAAGGGCAGGACTGGGGCTTGCCAGGGGGATGTTGGCGCTGCTTCTGCTCCCAGGGACACCAACGCACAGCCCTGTCCTCTGGCAGCAGCAGCTGCAGCAAGGGCTGTGGGAGCCCTGCTTGAAGAGGGCTGCTCTTGATCAGCCTGATGTCCAAACCTACCTTGTTTTCTCTGGTGACAAAGCCCTGTTTCTTCAGTAAATGCAGCACGTCCTTGCGCTTGTGGTAGTCCTGAAGGACAGGGTCATGCAGGCAGTTGTATGCTGGGCTGAGGTGGTGGCAGTAGGGATCATCCAGAGTGAAATAAGGAAACGGCCGGTGGAGCTGTAAGAGTTTCCAGAGTATGAAGGAGGCAGGAGAGTGGAGCGAAGAGGTACCACATGGTACCTGTGAAAAGGTAAAGGTCTTCTCCATCCTTCTGTATGCACAGAGACCTGCACAGACAGACTACAGGGCTGGGCTGTGATGGGTTAAGGGAGAAAAGACAAACTGCACAGCAACTCCACCAGCAAATAGGTATCTTAGGCCACCAGGAAGAACTGCAGACCCATCTGCAAATTAACCTTCAAAGGCTCAAATGCAGCCAGTGGAGAGTGGATGAAACCAGTCTCCTTGGGTTAGGCAGGCCCAAGGGCTGTGTTGGCTACCTCCACCTCCAGAAAATCTCTATCTTGGGAAGCTGCAGTGCAAACTGGAGGACAACAGTGTGTGTATACCCAAGGCAGGGAAGCCCAAGTTATTCCAAAGGTTCCAAGAAGGCAAGCAGAAGGTTGGAATCTCACTCACAAGTGCCCCGGGGCCTGGCCCGACATTGTGGGATGAGCTGGAGGAATGAGCTGCCTTGGCACCCAGACACACACAGCTGTCTGCTGAAGGCAGGGGCCTGGCCACACACATGCACAGTGCCAGAAACAAGTACAAAGATGGACAAGTGCTTTCTCCTCTGTATTCCAGGGAGCCTGGAGTTTCCCTTGCCCAGTCCTGTCCAGTTGAAGGGCTGCAGCTCCTGCTGTAGAGCAGGTGGCCTCAAGAAAATCTTTGCATGATGGGGACTCTGTGAAAGAGATTTTCTACCCCTTTCTATTTCCTTTACCTTTTCACCCAGTTTTCCCCTGCAGAAGACAGGCTTGGATCCAGGTGCCACAGGGATCTTGACTGCAAGTGGAAGGTTCAGCAGTTCAGGGTCCATTTTCCTGGTATCTCCTTCTCCCAGGTGTGGTCTTCTGGGGCTGAGATAGGAAGACACAGACACTCAGGTGTTGCCCAACAAGCCTCCTGCATGGCAGTCCTGAAGCCCTGGAGCATCACCCCATGTCCCAGGCTCCCCAGCAGAGCCCTCTATATTGGCCCAGTGGTCCCCTCCCCCCTGATTCCCAGTGCACTCAGCAGTGCCTCTGCCTTCGGCAGGACACCAGCAGTGAGATGGAGCTCCACAGCTCTTGCCGAGACCTCTCATGGTGTTGTGATCCCACTCTTACTCTTACCCCAGAGACACAGCAGCTGTCTCCTAGCTAAATATAGCCAGGGGCATTGTTCCATCATGGTGATGTCACATCCCCGCATTGTCACATCACCGTGCTGACATTGTGTCACATGGAAGCTGCCCACCAAGCCTGGGGGGAGGGGGGGCCACCTGGAGGCTCCTTTGGACAGCCCTGTGGGCTGCCCCCTTCGTGTGACCCAGCTGTGGGAGCTCCTGTCCACAGGCCCCTTCCCCCCTCCTCTGTCCTGTCATTCTGTGTGGCAAAGCTTCCTCACGAACAGGAAGGGATGGGAGAAATTGCCACACCAAAGGTGTGCAGTTTGGGTTCTGCTTTTCCCCTCTTTCCCTTTTTAGGGCTTCTTCCCTGTCATGGCCAAGCAGCCACAACTGGGGGAATTGCAGTAAACTGGATATTTGGCCCATCCCTGGAAACATCTAATTCCCGGTTCACATCTCAAGAAACAGTAGAGAAATAGAGGCTGAGGGAGAGCCCTCTCCTCCTCTTTCGTCAGGCTCCCATTCAGCCCAGACACCTTTCTGCCACCTTCCTGCCACCTTCCCAGTCTCCCCTGCCCTGGTTTCTGCCGTCCTTGTTTGCTCTCACTTCCTACCCCTTCTTGGCTGGATTTGGTGAGATCTCTGGTGCCCGTTCCTCCAGCCTGTCTGGTTCCTTGGGGCAGCTTTTACACTGCAGAGCCCTGCCAGCCTCGCTCTTTGCACAAAGGCAAGAGACAGGCAGAGCAATCTGTTGGAGGTGCAGTGATTGATCACCACGGGGCTCTTGGGAAACAGCGAGGGGCGCAGCTCAGGGACGGTGTTCCTGGGCTCCCAAAGCCCTTTCTGGCACACGCTCCAGCTGCAGCTCTTCTCCATCTTGGCCAGGGGAGGAGCAGCATCGGCTGTGCCCCAGCTTCCCTTTGCCACATGTCCTGCTCAGCCCCGGGGCCATGAGCCCCATAGCACATTCAACTGGCATGGACTGTGATGTTCCCAGCATGATGACATCCCTGCAGAGAAATCCACTGAAGTTCACAGTGCAAAACTGCAGCAGCTCAGCAAGGGTGGGAGCTAGGAGATCTCTGCCTCAAGTCCTGGCCGGGTCTGATGAACAAAGGGGACAGAGGAAAGTAGTGCTGTCTGCCTCTGTTCTCACCCGTTTGGGCTCCTTCCTGGGCCACAAAGCTTAGTTTGTCCACATTTACTACTTTCCTCTGTGTGAGGGGAAGCTCTGGACCCACATTTATCCAACTGATCCAATCACGATCTGTCTGCAACCTGCATCAGAGCAGGCAGAGACCAGCCTGGTCTGTGGAGGAGTTTCTGTTGCCTGGGAAGGGCTGCCGCTCCATGGCCAGCCACAGCAGGCAAGTTTGGCAAATGTCTGAGCACTCATGATCATTTTAACCATGGACACTAACATCAGAGAAGCTGGACCCCTAGACAGTGAAAAAGGAGAAATGTCACAAATTGGCACAGACACATCCCTGAACTACCAATAGCCATGTGCTCTCAGTGGGAACAGCAAAGCAAAGGAGCCCAGTGGGATCTAGGAAGACCTATTTTGGAGGGGAAGGAAGTGGTTCTCAGGGCAGGTGTTCTATGAGTCTGTAGGTTTTTTTAAGTGATGAAACTCCAGAATGAAATACAGTGCTGTCAAAAAACCCATTACACAAACACTATGCTGATGTTTTGGTAAAATAAAATAATTTTCTATTTATCTCAAAACTTCAGGGTTATTTTCCTTTCTATTTTAATTCTTTCTGCAATTTTTTTTCTCTTCTAGACACCTGCAATGTTAAGACCACTTCTGAAATATTCAGGTTAAAATGCAAATCTGAAAACTGTATTTTCAACCTTTTTTTTTCTCCCTGTTGCAATACTTTTAGCAAGCCACTCTGCTTCCACAGATTCCCAGCACACACAGTTCACAGGCTCTGTCAGAAAAGCACTAGCACCTACTGCTGTACAGTGATGGGGACACTCGGCTTTAAACCATGCTTTGTGCTCCCTGGGTCCTGTGATGCTTGTGGAACTGGGCTGAGGCTGATGTCAAAGAAGCAGCCAGATTTGTGTAGCAACAGCAGTTCCTGCAGCTGGAGGAGGAGGAAGACAGAAGGGAAAAGCCCTTGAGCCATGTTGTGTGTTCCTCTGAAGCCCAAAAGCAGCCGGTGCTATGTGAACACCTCAGCCACAGCAGTTACTCTTTCAGTCACAAAACCTGACAGGCGGCAACCCTCTGCTGGTCTGTGGCCTCTGAGCAGAATTTCAAGGATTATCCCAGGAAACCGACCCGAACCAGGGAAAATTTATCCACCCAATTCCAGCATACACAGATTTTTGCTCTTCTATGTCAATCTGGTTTGGGCTTTAACCCAGCATAAAACTACCAAAAAAAAGAAAATGAAATTAATTTGCCCCTGAACAACTCTGTTATCTACAGCTGAACCCACAGTCTTCTGACTGTACCAGAGGGTGAGCACGGCTGAGGAGCAGTGACGATCCCCTCGGATGGGCACTACTCAGGCCCACTCGCTTCCCGGCACATGGGGCAGCAGTGAGGGCACCGAGCCGAGCCAGCTGCGACAGCCACGGGCGGGTGTGCGCAGGAGCGCCCGCATCCCGACATCCGCCTCAAGGAAGGCTCAAGGGAGCAGGCCGCCAACTCTCCCCGGTATTTCACCGCCGTGCCACCTCAGCGCTCACGCTCCCGGCAGGGCACTGCGACTGTGCCCCGCTGCGGGCCGAGCCCCCGCCGGGCCCCTCCCGCCCCGGCAGCACCGCCGGCCCCAGGGGCCCGCCGGGCCGGGCCCCGCCCCGCTCGGCTCCATGCCCGGCCCCGCCCTCTGCGCGCTCCCTCCGGCCGGAGTGGGCGGGTCTTCCGCGCCCCCCCCCGCCCCCCCCCCCCCCCCCCCCCAGCGGCGCCGCATCGCGGCGGCCATTTTGTGCTGCTGCGGTCGGTGCTCGGGGCTCGGCGCGCCGCGGGCCCGGTGGAGGTGGCTCCGTTCTAACCCTTTTTCCCGTACAGATCCCTCGGTAAGAGCGCGGCGGCGCCCGGGCAGGCCGGGCCGCCTGCCCGATCCGGCGCTGCGGGCCCGCGGCGCGGCGGGGAGACGCGGGGAGGGAGGCCGGGCGGGCGCGTCCCCGCGCACAAAGGGCCGGGCCAGGCCGGGCCGGGCCGGGCGGCGCCTCCCGCCTGCGGCCCCGTGGCGCCGAGCGGGGCCGCTCCCGCCTCGCCGCAGCCCGGTGCGCTGAGGCCCGCAGCTCGGGCCGGCCCCGGCCGCTCCCCCGTCCCTGACTCCCTGTCGCCGCCCGCGCACGCCGGCCCGCGGAGCTGCGCGGGCAGGTGAGTCTGTGCGGGCCGAACGCCGGCGCCGAGTGACCTTGTGGCGGCGCCGGGGCCCGAGCCGGGGCACGGGCCGTAAGGCGGGGGCTGTGCCGCAGCCCGAGGCGGGGATTTGACGGGTCCGGAGCGGCGCCCGGCGGGCCGGGTGCGGCGGGGAGCGGGACGTCAGGGCCCGGCGGCTCTGAATTCCGGGGCCGCTCGGCGGTGTACGTCACCCGGACCCGGGAGTGGGGAACCCGCGCTGAGCAGGTACTTGCCCTTCCAGATGTTGAGCGCGGCAAGGGGAGGCTTCCGTTCCTTTCCTGTCCCGTTAAGTCTAGAGCAGTTGGTAATCTGTAGCCATTCCAGGGTTTAGTTAATCTAAACAGGTACAGTTTCGGGAAACCGTTTTATCTCCTTTACTGACTTAAAATCTGGGTACCAGAGATGTTTCTCTGGTCCCAGGCTGTTGTTTCTAGCCTAAATACTTAAAAATAAACCAGGAGAGATATCTGAAAATTGATGAGTCCAAGTTAAGTAAAATAAATGTCACTAAGCTACAGAATTTTGTTGTGTTGTATGCAGTAGGGAATTAAACAAAATATTTAAGCAATGGTAGTGACTTGAAATAACCTTTTGTAAGTATCTATACAGCACTTAGTAATGGAGCATCTCTGTAACTAATGCTTTTGACCTGCGTTCATTTAATTTTCTATAATGTGTTATGAATCCTTTTGCAGAACCAGTTTTGAAAAAAAAGGTCAAGCAAGAAGGCTTAAGCAAAGATCAGTCATATAATTCTCTGTTTTAATTTTTGTGACTTCTAAACTTTCATAGTAATAAAGGGAGGTGACTTAGATGAATGCATGTTTTTCGAATGCATGCTAAGTCAGCTTGTGGAAGAGTTCGCTAGTTTACGCTCTTGCTGATAACTTCATGGATGTCTCCTCAATGGAAATAAAATTTTACTTGAGCAGGCTGAGAGTAAAATCTGTCTGCCTGTAATTTTAAGGTCAAGTTGGGAATGAGGCTAGAGTATTAATTGTTCATAACGATACTGCCTTGACTGAAATGTAAGAAGCATGTAATTTATTCTTACCTTTAATTGGCAAAGCTCTCTGTAGCACTTGCTTTTGCTCCTGTAGTTCCTGCATGACCTAGGCAACGATAATGACTTAAATTCTCCCTCTTGGCCAGGAAAGGAGAGCACAACCCTAATTTAATAGTAGGGGATGATAAATTCTCTCTAACTGCACATATTATTTATAACTGCATCTGCAGAAGATAGGTATTGTCTGTAGCTGTAATTTGTCAGCTGACAGGCTGACACTAGCTCTCTTGCCTGTGTGACTGATGTCCTGTGCACGTGTGAACACTTGCATTGTGAGCTGAGCTAAAGAATGTACAGGGGACAGGGGAAGGATTTATTGCTCAGCCCTACAAGTGGTTGTTGTCAGTATTTAAACTGTACTCTTGATGGTTGTCTAGTTGCATGGTTACAGTGGGGTTTTTTAAAAATCTTAAAAAGAGCAGTCCTTTGGACTGGTGCATCATACTGAGAAGTGTTGTGAAGTGCTAATGAGTTCATTGTATGTTTGAGTAAGTCATCCTTTCTTTTTTGCTGAAATTAATTCCTTGTCTTCATACTTTGTACTTTTCTGTTCCTTGCTTGCCTACAGGTTTGTTTTGACTGCTTGTACTTCCTGCAGGAAAATACTTTCTTCAGGTGAACAATGGTGGTTTGGAACTCTTGGTTTGTCCTTGCTGTCCAAATACCAATAGCCACATGGCCTGTGTATTTCTAAAGACCTTTCAGAACTACTGGCATTCCAATATTTTTGTGACTGCAAACACTAGGCTTAAATGATGATGAATGCATGGGTGTATACTGTGTCTATGGTGACTAGCTGCAGATAATAATGTTGGAATATAAACACTCCTTTTGGAGGCATGTTAGTTTGTTGACATGCTTCTGTGTCTTTTTACTGGGCTTGAGGATTTTCAACCAGCCTTATTTAAGTGTAGGCAGCTATGGTCTGCCTTATTTTTTCATAAATCTACCTGAAATGGAGTTCTTAGGATTGCTTAAACAGAAATTGATTAGAAAGGAAAACATGTCTTCAGCTTGGTTGCCTGTATTAATGAAAAGAGAGGAAGCACTGTTGCTTATTGTGCGGGGGTTTTGTTTTGTGGGCTTGATTGTTGTTTTTTGTTGTTTTGTGGGCTTGATTGTTTTTGTTTGTTTTGGATTTTTTAATATGAAGTTAGCATCAAAGAGCTTTTCTGATCTGGTTACTAATGTTAAAATACTAGTTTCAGAATTGACTCACATTTCTGCTGCTTAAAATCAGCACTTCTTTCCCAAGGAATTGGA